TGTAACGTCTCTCGTGCTCTCTGACTGCAGTTCAATTACTCACTGTCTATACACACATTATATTCCCCCTTCCCGCGTCACGTTTTCCCCTCTTATATATACCAGACTGCCCTATCTAGTAAATACTAGAGCATTCATGAAGGAACAAGATAGTTCTAGAAACTAGAGGGCGCCACAGTACTCATGTGACTCGCTGACGCAACAATATCAAAAGTTAAAGCCTTTCTCTGTTGTAAGAAAACAGCCAGTCACATGGTGACACTTGTCACTTATGTGTAAGACCAAGGTTTCTTGTTTGGTACAGAACATTGGTTTTAATCAAAATACAAAATAAAGTTCTACTTGGTTCCTGAAGTGAATTGATTGAGAGAAAGGCATGTTGAGAAAATATAACTGTGATTGATTTATTGATCCAGTAAGAGGATGAATGCTCTGTGTCTACACAAGTAGCACATTGTTTTTTAGATTTTGTATTTTGAATAAAGATTGTTTTTGCACTTTACATCACGTCTAAGCTTAAACTCAGTTGTTTAGTTCAATTCAGAATTAATCTGGAATTATCCTTCACGAATCTCCCATTATAAAATGAACCTGTCCAAAACTTGTGCAAAAATAATGTTGCGTCAGCGAGGTCACGTGACTATTGTCACGCCACCTGCTTTCTAGAACTATCCCGTTCCCTCGGGAGTGCTCTAGCATTTACTAGATTGGGGGGTGGTCTGATATATATAAGATGGTCACGGCGTGACGTGACAAGATGTGTGTAGGTAATGAGTAATTGAACTGCAATCAGAGAGAGACGTATTGTTGAAGCCGAGCTCGTGAGACGTGAATTATAGTTTGTTATAGAGCGATTGTTGAAGTTGAGTGTATCGTAAAGTTGTATTCGGAAAAAATAAACCAGTTTTATTTAAGAAAGGACTTGTGTCGCTAAAGTTTCGTCGGAACGAATTTACTAAAATTAACTAACGAACGGAGACGTAACAAATTGGTGTTAGAGAGTGGGATAAAAAAAA